CTCTCACTTTCCCAAAAATCCTTGGCACACCCCTTTTCGCACTTCCAGGCCCACATCCAACTCCGATCAGGAAGTCGCGCCGGGCGTGAGGTTGGGCGTCACAACGCTGGACCCAATTTCCAGCAGGCGTTGCTCCCCAGTAATAGATGGAGCCATCTCGACACTGCTAGGGGCGCCTGCTCGTACCAGCGTCCCTAGCAGCCGATTCGGCTGTTTTCTTTACAAAAAAAAAAAAAAAAAAAGGACTGTTGTTGTGTTTTTTTTGTGGTAAACTATGCGACCCTAATTAGGAATTTCCTGAGGCATCATGATTTAGGAATCAATCGAAACCCTAGTTCGGTGCGGTTGTTTTGGTTTGTTTTTAGAGTGGGTATTAATTAGGACTGTTGTCGTGAGTTTTACGAAACTTGTGGCGCTGGTTTTCTACAGGGGAGGGGCTCCACCCGACGAAGCGGGATTGGAGACCTTACGACCCCTGAATCTGCAGTTCTTTGACATCGTATTTCTGCCTTGGGCACTGGGCCCTAATAAAACTACTGTTTCTATAAAAAAAAAAAAAAAAGACTTGGATTTGCTTTTTATTCATTTTGATACCGTTTCTTTTATTTATTTGAGACAATTTGTAAAATACCCCTATAAGTTGAGACAGATTCCAAAATGGGCGTAAAAGATATGAATAGAGCAGAATGCCACTCTGACGAATAAGAAAGTTGTAAAATACTACTGGTGTTGGTTGGAAGCCCCATCTTTGCAATATACCTCCACCATGTGGCATGCAACTTTGCAAAATGCACCAGTACTTACAACTTTTTCAAGGCCTGATTGCAAAATGCCCAGGCCCAAAGGGCAAGGTCCCGATTGCAAATTTGCACACTCGGCTGAGAAGGGCATAACACAAAAAATTCGGCCCAAAAGGGCGTTCCACTCTACCCACATCTTTCAGGGGCAGTTTGGCATCCATCTCAATTTATGGGGCTATTTTGCAACATATCCGTTTTCGGTTTTGGACCATTACACCAGGTTTTGAACTTGTTCGCAAAGCGTTCCATGTGTGGTATGTTCCGCCCCCCACGACGAGCAAGTTCCGGCCTACGTGGATTTTCTGTGTATCTGGGCGTGGATCCAGACGGAGAATTCAGGCAAGTGGGACCGGCGAGGGTAGTCCGTGCACGTTGGCCTTACAGAATGCATGTTACCGGTAGTAGTTGCCGGTACCGGTCGCTCGCGGCTCGTAACCTCCGCGCTGTGTTTCATCGGTGATGTCGGACGCGGCCCAGTGTCGGTGCCAAACCGCGGGAAGATGTTCTTCACTGTTGCGAATCCTCCTTACAACTTGTGCGGATGCTATGTTGTTCATCTCCTCTCCGCTCCTCCTCCTCCTCCTACTATTCTCCATCCGCGCTGCTGCATTCTTTCTTGTAAGGAGGACACGTGGCTGAGTAAGAACGTTTTGGACAGCAAAGGCACTCATCCTGTCCTCGACCGACACGTCCAACGCTATCGTAACAACGTTTCTCGGTGAAGTAAGAGCATATTCACACTAGCACGATCTCGAACGTATGACTGTAATCGCGCCATACTGGATGTATCTTACCGCAAATTCGAATAAGTAAAATGGTCCTAGTCTGAGTATGCCCTGAAGCAAGACCCCGATGTTAACCGAGGTCGACGCTCGGCGCGCTGTGGTTGAAATGCAGATGAGGCCACGTGGGCAGAAGATTATCCACGTGGCATTCCACGTGTAATGCCACGTGGATAGAGGATTTTTCTTTTTTCTTTTTTGGGAAAGCGGACATGTATTCGATCGGGATCGACTCTGCTGACATGGCAGCGTATTGATGCAGCAGCAAATGCGTCGGGGGCTCGTCATCGTGCGGGCGGCTGTGGTTGTGATGGGCGAAGGATTGTCCTCCAACTCTACTCGGGAGAGGTCGTGAGCTCAAATTCTGATTCTCTCTGAAACAATAATAACGATCCGAGAAGGAAGGTAATGAGTGAGAAAAATGGAAGCTGATTGTTAGAGAAGTGGCAGCTCTCCCGCGTGCGTGCAATCGTGCATGTACCGGGCGAGGGCTGTATTGGACGAGGGACACGTGGCAACATTTATGAATATAGAGGGGGCACAGAGACACACAGAGAGNGAGAGAGAGAGAGAGAGAGAGAGAGAGAGAGGAGAAGGAAGGGAGGGAGGGAGGGAGGGACGGACGGAGAGAGGGAGGGAGGGAGGGGGAGGTCCTATTCCTCACAGCGGTTGATATTCGTCGAGCGGTCTCGTGTTTTCTGGGGGGGGGAGGGATCTAACGATCGGCTGGCCGCGTCGCGAGACCGATCGCGGCGGTCACGATCGTCGGGATGCCGGTGCTGCTTCCATTCGCGGCGTCGTTTTCGTCCATGATGACGTTAGATAGGAATGAAGGCCGGAATGAGGGCCAGATGCAGAGTTCTGAGGGCATGCACTCATCGTCTTCGTACTCGTCATTCACGGGTTCGGAATTCGGAGGGGCGGGAACGAGTGATGACGTCAGCAAGGGGGGGGGGGGGGGGGGGGGGGGGGGGGAGGGGCGAGCGGGGGGGTCGGAGAAGGGGGCGCAAACGAGGAGAGACGGCGCAGACGGTCGCGGATGGCGCTCGAGGGACACGTCAACGTGCTGCCTGCTGAAGGCGGCATCATCATCCCGATAGGTGAGCCTTTAGTAGTATTGTCAATCGATTACGGGATTTTTTTATTTAAGTGAATTTATTGAGGAAATGAATTGTTACGAAAATTTAGTGAAAAAGTAAAAAAGTCATATGATTATAAAAATGATCTAAATACGTCGAACTACTTTGTATGTAATTCAATTAATCGTTTGATTAATTTTGTTATTGTAATCAAATCATTATTAATGAACTAATGAATCATAAGTCAAATTCGATTTTGTAAAATTTATTATAGATGTTAGTTATCCGTCGACAGGCCGGATAATTAAAAGATGAAAAGACAGAAAAAGATCTTAGAAGGGTAACGTAAAGGAAAAAGTTTGGATAAATTTATTTTTATTTATTGTAGTACTATAATAATAATAATATTATTACGATTGTCGTTCATCGTAACTTTCATTTTTCAATTGGATTCTTGGGTTGACCGAAGAATCTGGATTTATTATAAATAAGTTTATTATAAATGTTATTCAAATCTATTACTGTATGTTAGTTTTAAATTCTCTCTGATTTCCGGCTCTTCTTTTCCGTTTTTTGCGGTTGTACTTTCATATAAACTAGGACTGGATTAAGGGTCTGAATCTGGATGTGTTTATTGCAGATATGCAGCAAGGCAACAATATCATAATTTTCTGCACCTCTCCACAAACACGTATAGATTCGGAGGGCCTGAATCTCTACGAATCTATACGTGTTTGTGGAGAGGTGCATTGAATTCTCTCCGTTTTGTTAGTGGGACCTCGCCCAGGGAAGCAAAGCATTTTCGAAGGGGTTCGTCCAGGAAGATGTACAAGGTCATAGGCTCAGTCACATTCATCCAGCTCATTAATTCCATTTCTTTCCATTCATTTTTTCCATTATTTGTTCATTCTTTAGCTCATTTTGTCAGGGGTAATCAACTCGCGCCTCCTTTTTTTGTTTGTAACCTTTTTTTTTTCCTGTTCCCCGCAGCTTGCAATCGGGGCCACCGTTCCCCTTCAGAAAGGGAAGAAGGACATCCATGGATGAACAGCATTGATTACCCTCACCTGGAGACCGGCGATCAGACATGCGGTACAAACCAAGAGACTTTTAAGCAGTCGTCTTTTCTTTTGTTACATAATAAATGAATAAATAAATAAATAGATTTGTAGTGTCTTATTACAAAAAAATTGAAAAGTCAGCCATGCGATCTCAAACCAATAATTTTTTTTTCCCCCCATAACTTTTCGAGTTTAATGAATCGCCATTTTCGAAAAAAACAAAACAAAACATAAGACCCTTAACTTTTAAGCATTGTGCCTAGACCGGGCGAAAGACATTCTTTAATCCTCTGACGAAACCAGGAATAGGTTGATTGTCCTTTTTCGTTTTTTAATTCACTTATTCATACATTTTCCCATTTCGTATATTTGTTTAATTTTGTTAATTCTTCGTCCCACTATTTCAATCGATAACATTACTCGCCCGTTGTTTTTTATTCTGTTCTCCCCCCCCCCCCCCCCCCCCCCAATTTATTTATACTTATTCCATTTTCACTCATTAATGTCTGCTTATCAGACTACGATGTTTTCACTGGTTCGATTTTATCCTCATTAAATAAATTCTACTAATTTTTATTTGTATTTGCCGTAGATACTAAAACCATAGTGTCCATGTCAGATCTGTCAGCTGTATATTAGCATAATGCCAAGATTTGCCAAATAATAATTTAATAAATAATTCAACAAATCATCATGATCTCCACTACCATCGTTGTCAACATTCGTCATCGTCGTCGTCGTCCTCCTCGTCAAGACTGTCGTCATCCGCGTCATCCTCATCGTCGTCATCATCGTCATCATCCTCGTCATTCTCATCATCGTGATCATCCTCATCATGAAGGCCATCATCATCGTTGTCCTCGTCATTCTCGTCATCCTCATCCACGTCACTAGGGCCAATCATCATCATCATCATCTTCCTCCTCCTCATCAAGACCGCCGTCATCCTCATCGTCCTTGTCATCCTCATCATCAAGGCCATCATCATCGTCATCATCGTCATCATCAAGGCCACCATCGTCATCATCGTCATCATCGTCATCATCATCATCATCGTCATCATCGTCATCATCATCTTCATCATCGTCATCATCATCATCATCATCGTCATCATCGTCATCATCGTCATCATCGTCATCATCATCGTCATCATCAAGGCCATCATCATCCTTATCATCAATGCAATCATCATCCTCATCTTCCTCCTCACGTCCTCATCACTCCTCATCTGACTCATCCGCCTTGTAATCAAGGCCGTCATCATCGTTATGATCCTCATCAGCAAGGTCATCATCGTCGTCGTCGTCGTCCTCCTCGTCATCATCAAGCCCATCGTCATCCGCCTCCCCCCCATCGTCGTCCTCCTCCTCCTCATCATCATCACCATTAAGATGATGATGATGATCATCATCAAGTCCATTCTCTTCATCTCCACCATAATGTCCACTGTCTTCATTCATCGTGACTCTCATCATCATTGTCATCGTCACCATAATTATCTGCATCGTCATCATCATCGTTACCACCTTCATTGTCATCATTATCTTGAGCAATTTAGACAACACTCCGAATAGGAATCATTGTCCTCCCAGATGTCGCGCTCCAGGGAAACACACAGAGAGAATAGTCTTCATCTGGGAGGATAATACTACTGGTAGTAGTTCCAATAGTTGCTATTCTTTTACCAAGTATCATTGCCCATCATCTGCGGGTTTTGATTGATTAAATGAGTGAAAAGGGACCGGGGTGATGAGAAAGGGCCGCGCGGGATGATGAGATAAGGCTCCGGGATGGTGAAAGACGCTTGCGTAACATCTAGCAGGGTGATAGTTACATCTGAATAATTTATATATGCTATTAGTAATATTTAACATGACATATTCACAAGTACATAGCCCCTCGTTTGTTGTCCTCTTTTATTTACTCATATATTTATATTATATGGGAATCGTCAAACAGAGATGCCCGGTAAACTGTAGGCATATATATATATATATTTATTTTTTTTTCGCTTTGGCGCTCTGATATCATGTGACAATATGTATATATATATATCCCGTTGTTTGGCCTGTAGTTGCCGGGGGGCGGTGCTTGCATGTGGGACTTGTCATCTAGGATTGTCATTTAGGATTTGTTTTAATCTTGTCTGCTTCGATTTTGTTATTGGGCATCCTGGTTGGTTGTCACACTGGGATCGGAGCTTTTTTTGTTTTTTTTGCAGACAAGAATGTTTTGACATCTCTGTTTTGTTGCCCCCTGTTCTGTTTTATTTGGCTGTTCCCTTCCTCTTTTCTTTGCCTCTTCGCCTTTTGGCTGTGTGCAAGTGGGTCGATATGACACACGGGGGTGGGGGCAGCCGCCGCTCAACCTACATCCACGTGGGCGGCCTTGTACGCAAGAGGTTCTGAACAGGGGGAGTTGTAAGGAAGAAGATAAAAAAAACGAATTCATTCTTTTTTCTTCTTTTTTTCGCTTTTGCGCTCTCATATCTTCGGCCGGCATCACGACAATCCTCCGCTGCTGCCCTGGCTCGTCAACTGGATCTTTGGCGTACTGCAGTTTTGCGTCATTGTCAGTTCAATATGCCCGCTGCAACATCTTCTCGACAGCCTCGCTCTCTTCGACAGGCACATGCGGCTCTGCGTCACCTCCAAGACTCCTTTGAGATTGTTCCTGTGGACGAAACTTCACATAATTTGGCTATTTGTTGGAAGGACTGGTATCGTTTCCACCTTTCTGCTCATCTTGACAGTCCTACATATTCTCGGCCCACTGAAACAGCAGCCGACATTCTGAATAGCCACGCACTTTGGAACAATCATTGGAATTATCCTCATGCTGACACATTGCCGTATCTTTATTGCGCTCTTAAGGCCCATAAGTCTCCTCCTACACTCCGTACTATTCTTGGGATTACTGCCCGCAACAATCTTTCTTCCTCTCATATGGCGCAGCGGAATGACCTGCGCCCCTCCCAACGAGTCCAGCGTTTGCATCACCGGCCGCCCCACAAGCCTGTTGCTAGTACAACTCCAACATCGGCTCGCTTGAGTGCAGCGCTTCAAGGCGTTATCCGTACTCTTCGTGAAAAAGATAATCACCTCTTTCAACGTCGACGATGTTGGATTGTCCAGAGCAGTGAGGAGGTCATGCTTGACCTCAAAAAGAGTAAAGCATCACTCCGAGGTCTGGCCCCTCATACGGTCGATTTCACTACCATGTATACTAATCTTTCTCATCAACGGATTCTTACCAATGTTGCTAATGCCGTTGATGAGGCACATGCCTATGCTCTAGCACAGGCACGGCAGCGTACACGGACACGCCCATCCTGTGTTGCTCTTCGTATGGTGGTCCGTGGACCGCGCGCAGGGGAATGGACGACCGACACAGGATCTGACAGTCTTTCTGTGTCTGACATTTTTCAACATCTTCGCTTTATTGTTACTAATACATATCTACATACAGCAGATGGCGTTATTCGTCATTAAGATGTTGGTATTCCTATGGGTACAAACGCTGGTCCCGAGATTGCTAATCTTACACTCTATTGGGATGAGGCGCAGTATGTGGACAACCTGCAGCGTGTGGATCCCTCTGCAGCAAGGCGATATGCTTTTACTTATCGGTTCATTGATGATGTCCTTACCTTTGGTTGTCTGCCACCATCGCCAGCTTGTTATGGTCTTGAATGGAAGGAGACGACTGCTGCTGATGGTTCCTGCACTTTTTCAGGTGCACAACTGCAGACACGAACGGATGGATCTCTCCGATTGAGTGTGTTTGATAAGACTGTTGCATGGGATTATCCTGTCATACGATACCCTAGTGTAACGTCAAACATTCCATCTCATCAGCCTGCAGGTGTGTTCACTGGCCAGCTTACGCGGTTTGAGCAGATTTGTGACAATTGGCATGATTTCAGAACGGCAGCAACTATGCTTGTCCGCCGTTTGCTTTCCCGTGGCCATAGTCCTTCGACATTGGCCCGAGGATGGACTTGTTACATTCGTGCTCGCCAGCGTCGGCAGCCTATACATGTGACGAGACTTACGCAATGGTTTCGTTGCATGCTTCGTTGGTCCATGCATCATCCTCTTCCACCTTCTCCTCCTCTTTCTATCCCCTCTCCTTCCTCCCCTCCCCCTCGTCCTCCCCCTTCCTCTGCTCCATCTTCTCCTCCTCCT